TTGGTTGTGGTCTCGAAGTTTCTCGGGAAGGGGCTGTTCTTAAGTGGCACTAGTGGATATGCAAGACAGTCTGCCGGCCATCTCAAAGGCTGTGAGGCTATCATCTCGCAGCAGGTTGGCAGAGTACAGGATGCCAGAAATGGCTTGGGACTGGGCAGACAGCAACTAATCTGCACCAGAAACATTGTGGGAGGTCCTTCTAGTTGGCTTCATCCATGGTCGAGGGAGAGTTAAATAGACGGAGTGCAACTTGGCCACGTGATCTATTCTCTGCGAGTAGAAATACTTTTGGCTCTCAGAATAGTCGGTTTTGTCTGGCTTTCTTTTGCGCTGGTGACATCCAGACACGATTGGCAAACGTCCAGATGAGCGCGAGCCCGTTCCTTGTCGATGGCGCTGTTTGAGCTGCTTGGAACCTCTCTGGGCCTGAGGCAGGGGGTTTGTAGATCGGTTGCAGGCGGTTGAGATGGGCTGCGGGCGGCCAATTCATGTGCACGTAGTCACGAAGGCTTGTCGTAGTGGGTGGCGCAGTATTCTTTGCCACATCCTCGCACGGCCCACAGTGCAATTGGAGAGGCTACATGCATTGCGTTGGTAGCGCTTGCATTGAACTTTTCTGTGGGCCTTGACCACCCAATTGGCTGGCCAGTCTTCGGCTTTAGGCGATTTGCTAAGGCTCTTGTCCCCCGACTGCGGCCTTTAAGGTTCCTAGGCGGGGTAAAGGGCAGGCTTCGGCCTGTCCGTGCGCTTAGGCGGAGTCGGGGGTAGGCTGGGCTTAGGACGAGGCTGCAGCATATTGCTGAGGTCACTCCGTATAGCGGTGACTTTGTAGAAGGCTTCATCTAGGCTCCAGCCCGTGGCGACTAAATTGGCTATGGTACCCCAAATCTTACTTCCTGTCAGCTGCAAGGAGCTCCTGAGTAGTAGGTCCTCGGAGGCTTGTGTCGGACAGGTCAGGCAAGGCGAGGTCTAGGACCTTTTTGTCAAAGGCTTTTAGATTATTAAGGTGTGCTGCACCGCATAAGGCCCAAGCATTGCGAAAGACCGTTTGAATGCGCGAAAGCCAAGAGGCTGATAGTCTGAGATGGGCTACTGCCATCTCTGGCGTGTCGTCGTACAAGGCAGAGGCGAGGATATGCGCCTCCGTTCTCATATAGGCTTGGACGATTTGGCCTCCATAATCTCTTGATATTGCTTGGCGCTGAGGCGGAATTGCCAGGGGATCCAGCGGATCTTCTCGCCCCGCTTGAGGCTATGCTGTACGAGGCTGAGTAGGCGAATGCTCGGCATAGTGTCGTCGTCGAGGAGCTCCCCCGGGTAATTAAGCTTGAAGTCGTTGACGAGGTCTTGTACGGCTTCGGAGCTGAGCTTAGGCGGCAGGTTTTCCATCCAGGATGTGGGCGAGGTCTGCGGGATGAGGGCTGATTGAACTGAAGGCATAGGCTCCGGCGTAGGCGACGGCTGTGCGGATTGTTGAGATACCCCATGAGCTATGCGAAGTGCCCGACGGAGCTTGGCTGCTTGTACTCCGTGCAGGGGGTCTACCACCCCCATGTCCCCCATGTCCTCTTCCGAGAGTCCCGAGAATAGGCTATCGAGGCTGGCCAGTTCAGGATATGCGTAGGCCAGATCGTCCACTGTCTCTAGGCCTTTGAGGGCCAAGGCGTGGGCGAGCACATCGTGGACCGCATGGTCCTTCAAAAACTTTGCCAGCTCCGAGGTCGGTGCGCTGGCCATGGCTGGCTTCGGAGCGAATGCAAACTTGAGGGGGAAGCTGCGGCGAGTAGACCTGGGCGTGCAGACGCTTATGAGGCTCTTCCGGAACGGCTTTTATCACACCCAGGAGTCCAGAAGCTTCGCACAGGCTTTCCTGCGGCAGAAAAATGTAGGATCTGGCTCGGAGGGGCTAAAGGCTGCCGCAGAGCGCATGGCGCCGCATGCGGCTTTGTCCGAGATTTCAAGGCAGGCATGTATGCACCCCCAAGGTCCATTTCGGAATAGGCTGAAGGCTGTAGGCCCGCTCGGCTCAGCATCTTTGGGCTGGTCTGAGTCAGATGAAGAATCACGTTCCGCCGCGAAACGCGCGACTTGGAGGGCTTCATGATCATCGTCTGGTATGGCATCCGTGGAAGAGGCTGCTTCCACTGGTTCCTCCGTCATAGGCTGAGTGTCCTCCTTGGGCTCCGATAGGACAGTCCTTTCTAGCTCTGCCTCTCTGGCGTAGATGAAGCGCGAAAGGTCGCTACTGATCACACCACGCAAGAGTTTATGCGCTTTCTTCGTCTTCGACACAAGCTTTGGTCGGTCTCGAACTTCATGCTAACTCATTCGTCTTCGGATGCTGGGCATGGATGGCCACTTTGGTCGCCAGGCGACCTCTTCGCGTCTTATCAGTCGCCACCTCTCGTGAGAGAACGCAGAGCGGTGACAAAGGGAGCTTCAGAAGACAGCCACATCCCAGGCACGGTGTTTACGCGGGAGACGGCGAGGACGTCGAAGCAGGCAGCCGTTATTGTCCAAGCGCTGCAACATGGCAGAAAGCCCTGCAAACTTGCAATCTGGCGCAGCGCCGGAGGCCGGCTTCTCAGAAAAGCTTCAAAGTGATTTGACGCTGGGAGCATGATAGGGGAAGCTGCTCCTGGTAGCCTCCAGAGAGCTGGAGAACGAGCCTGCGGCCACTCACCGTTCCTAAAGCGTTGTCGTCCCGCTTTCTCTCCTTCTTGTGAGTTGACGCCAACGTTTACATTCATTTGTTCAAGCCAAGAGCTGCAACGATGAGGTCAGCTTTAACATGGTGATTTTTTCACCGACACTGTTCAGAAATTCGCATCTGTGGACACAATTGCCAGAACACTTGGTGCGTGTTAAATCGAAATATTGTTGGCCACAGATGCCAATTGCAACCAGGTCAACGCTGCGGAGCTTTGCAAGCATATCAAAAATGGACCATCGAGCTAAAACAAATCCAAGAAACGACCCTCCGGCCCGGCACTGGAGAGGATATTGCTTGGCAAGCGACTGTCTCACTATGTCAAAGCTGCATTCGGCTCCAGCTTTGTTTCCCGCAACCTGGAAATGACTTTACAGGGAAGTCTTGTGGCGGACACGTTTTGGAAGGGTTTCGGTCTGGAATCCACCTAGGCTCCGACGGCGCATTAATTGAAGTCTGATTTTCCAGTTTTATTGCTTTTGCTTTTTCTTTGTTATGTTCTTGTTGTCTGTTGCGTGTGGCTTTCAGTTTCTTGTGTGTGGAGAAGCAAGGCGTTTTTTTATTTGTAGTATTTGTTTTCATCACTTTGATTCCCTTGAAGCGACTTCGCGTGGCTTTTTCCGTTGTATGAAGAAAACATTTTTTTATTTTTGTTGTCTGTTGTCTGTGGCTTTCTGCTTCTTGTGTGTGGAGAAGCAAGGCGTTTTACTTGTATTAATTTGTCATCGCTTCGTGTGGCTTTCTCCTTGTTGTGTGCAAAACAAACGTTCTTTGTTCTTGTTGTCTGTTAGAGAGGTGTTTTACCTTGTTTTCTTCGTTTAAAGCCCTTGAAGCGATTGTGCGTGGCTTTCCTCTGATTTTGAGTTTTAGCCCGAATAGGACCCAGGTTCAAACCCAGGTTTGAACCTTGGGCTCCGAACCTGGGTTTTTCGAACCTGGTTGAAACCTGCCTTTGCATCCTGCAGTATTGACCCGGGTTCTACTGGGTTCGAGCCCGGGTTTGAACCTGGATTGGAACCCAGGTTCAAACCCAGGTCAAAACCTAGGTTCCAAACCTGGGTTAGAACTGGATTTCAAACCTGGGTTCTAACCTGGGTTACAACCTGGGTTTGAACCTGGGTTTAACCCCGGAGTTGAACTTCCACCAAGAAAGAAGACCGGTTGAAGACCAACCATCGCCTGCAGTCATTCCCCCTGGGTAAAAGTCCGCGGAGAAAAATAATAGAACCCAGGTTCAAACTCCAGGTTAAACCCAGGTTCCTGCCTCCCCTCCCCAGGTTCAAAAATACCAGCCTCACCTGAACTCCGGCACGCAGGAGCCCTCCTGCTTCATCAAGCGAGTCCACTGAGTTTTTTTTGCCCTGAGGGACCCAGAGTGAAGGCAGAGGATTGGCACTGGATCCAGAACGCTCGCCACACACCATCAAATGGCACGGGCATGTGCATGTGGTGAGCAAGAATCTACAGCAAAGTTTTGTTGGAACGAAACCAATCAGGTTTTTCACCTGCTTCTAAAGTGAGCTACCATGTTTTTGCAGCATCTGCTGAAGCTTTTTGATTCATGCGAATTTGACCGGCTAGGAAGTGCAGTCTGTATGCATGTTACCAACCAGTATTGTCTGTTCACTAAATGCTGCACGCACGCACCTGAGCTTGCGTACCGTCCGCACGTGGTTGCTCACACTGTGTGCGTTTAGTATTGAAGACCTGCTATGGTCAGTTTCATTGTTATCTTACAATGACATGTTGAAGCTTTTGCACTTAGGTTGATGAGTCGGCAGTTTTCACAGGCATGCTGGCTTATGTTTGTGCATATTCGCTGGAAATGTTTTCCAAGCCGACACTTGGGCAAGCGCCTGGCGTTACAACCCGATGAGACAGCGGAGCAAGCATTTCTGTCGATTGTGTGGGATGGTTGACCCACTGTGTGCCTGTAGTTGGGATTGAGAAGGCGTTGGAGTTATGTGTACGTTGATTCGTGTGCGAACTGCTAGCAACAGCAGCCATTCAGTTACAGCAGTACGACGTCATGCTGGTCAGATCGTCGCGATGGCTAACGTTGGCAGGTTATCGTGGCTTTTCCCGTGTCGCTGGCCATTCAATTAATGATCCGCAGGTGCGTGCCTGAGACAGAGTTATAAGGTGCATGTGAAATTGTCAGATGTGTGTGCAGGCTGGTGTTTTGTCGGTCGGAACAGTGGTCTATGCATCTTTCCCTCGCTTTCTGAAACTGAGTTCGGTCCTGGTCTTCAAAATTCGCAGTGTGTGGTCCGTTCAATAAAGTTGGTGGTTGTGTTCGGATCGAAGCAGCACATGTGAAAATGCCGGCATTCCAAATCATCCTTCGCGAGCCAACTCCAACCGTCGACGGAATCCTGCTACCAGTTTGATTTTCTTTGCTTATTTGCGTGTCCTCGGATTGGTCCTTTCCCGTCCCAAGCTTTGGCCGGCATTGTGCTGAGGTGCTGCAAGAAGTCACCCGTGAATTTCGTCTCTACGAGTCTGCTCTGTGCAACAACGACGTGAAGGCATTACCAAGGCAATTCGTGTCATGTTGTGTCCCCGGATGGTTTGTTGCACGACAGGCTCTTGACCGGTTCTTCTTTGACAATCCATCAACTGTTCGATTCGGCACATCGGAGAATCTATATGGCTATGAGGCAGCATGAATGTGCCGGCACTAGATGTTGACGCGAAAGCACGTTTTTCGGCACTCCAGGCCATCCAAGCGTTTCGACAAGGGAGATCTCCACCCGGTGATCGCAGAATCTTGAGGTCGGTGATCACAACCTATGGACCGGATTTTGCGGTCCCTCGCTTGATTTGCTGTGGCAAACAAGCCGTAGGTTTGGTGGTATCCGGAATTGCTACAGGGCATGTGCACTTCCGCCCAGGTGGCAAACATTGAGTTTCAGCGAGATGGCAGCTCCAAAATTGGACGACAGTCGCAGACATGGTTGCGCTGCTTGCGTTGCAAAGTTTGCCGAGCCTGCAGAGTCAACTTCAGCCTTTTTTTTCGCGCGCGTTGGGTCTGAGGAACTCCTGAGGGATGGAAGGTCGTTTCTGCGCATGTATCGATGATGGAAAAGTGAGGTGCAGCTATTCATTGAGCTATTTCAGGCACCTGCAATCGCTTCAAAAAGGGACATGTCCGAACAATTGAAGTGCCTCGTTTGCATGATACGAGTACAGCAGCAAAAGCAGCCCAGCATGCGGCAGCACACATTCATGTCAGTATGTTTCCTTGCACGAAGCCTGGCTCGAACATGTTGCAGGTCACATGCAGCAACGCCGGCCAGAATAGGGTGTATGGTCTGTATGGTGGAACTGGCCAAAACATCAGGAACGACACCAAACATGAGTGCACACATCATGGTCACAGAAAGAGCCGTTCTTTATAAAAGCTTGTAGTTTCTGTGAGAGCCGCGCAGTGTGCATGTGGGCCATGTTGGCCAAAGGCCTTGCTAATTGATTTATGGGGCCCAGCAGAAGGGCGGAGCCTGCGGCAGGCATCAGGAAGTGCGTCGAAACATGCTGCAATGTTTGCATTGTTAACTTGTTTTAGCATTTTGCAGAGGCTGGTTTCGAGCAGCTTCCCGCCGACTTGCGGGAAGGACGGATCAAGTGCGTGCTGTAGCTACGTAGACTCAGGCCTCTGCTGGGCTTGTGCCATCGTCCCAGGCCTCAGCGAGTCATCGGAGCCATTGGTGCCATCGTCTGGAGCACTGGAGCTTGCTACGGCCTTCCCTCCTCGATTCCACGCGCTTGCCGGCGTGCATCGGTCTTCTCTTTGGTCCTGGCCTCTGGAGGCCAGGCACAGGCCGTGCTTCCCCAGCTCCCGCCCTCCGGCAGTCGTGTGCTTGACCTCGGTGGCCTTCTACCTGCATCACTGGAGCAGGACCTCGATAAAGCCATAGAGTCACTGGAGCGTGATACGCCGTATCGATTCCGTCTGGTGTGTCCTCCTCCTGGTTATGGCCCTCAGGATCGGGCGACATGGTCTGATTTTGTGAAACAGGTGGGACAGTACTTTGCGCAAGAAGCTCAATGGGATCCTGCCAACGCCGTTGTATTGCTGGTCTCTCCAAGAACCTCTGCCGGGCGCACGGCAAACCCGCTGAATTTTTCCGTTGCCACCAAGCTTACCCAACGTCTACAGTATCGGATTGCATCTGACACCTTTACCAAAATATCGAACAAGTATGGGGACCGAGATTTTGTGATGCAAACAGGGGAGGGAGAAGCTGCTGCACTTGCCGCCTTCAATGCAATCGCTTGCCTCCGCAAAGGGGTCTGCATGCAGCCGCTGCCCGATGACGAAGCTCGCGCAGTTGCTTTTGGAAGCAAGGCAGCGGTCAGCACCGCAGACGCCCTGGAGGCTGCTGGTATTCGATGACTTCGATTTCACAATGTGCAATTGAAATCAAAAGGCAGTACTGCATTGTGCGTCGCGACCCATGAAAACAACTACCCCCACAGCTTGCTTCAATCCTTGTCTGTTGCCATCCGCTGCACGCCGTAGCGGTGATCCGGTAGATGTGCAGACAAAGCCTCAGTTCAGTACCAACCCACTAAGCCAAGGTCAAAAGGTTGCTAGGACTGGCACAGATGCAGCACTGAACAGCAGTTTTAGAAAGTCCACTCTGACATGTGTTATCGTGCTAGCACTGGCGTTGTGCAACATGGTAGTCTGGAGTCCGTCCTTGCATGGCACTGATTAGCGCAGGCTTTGTATTGAGGGGATGTGAGCGTTTTTGTGCTCGCGATTCCCTCCATCACTTGATTTTGCTTGGCAGGAGGTCATGGCTGAGGATTTCGTGGTTGGAAACTCATTTGACACATACGTGGCTTCTGTGACTGGAAAGGGCCTGAACTTGAAGGCAGGGTTCAGGGATACTACTCCATGTTGCAAGATTGCCGCAAGAAGCCATTGAGTTTGGGCTTGCCCTCGCTCGACAGGCCTGGGAGCTTGCATGTTGAGGACTCTGCATGCTGTGTCTGCTGTGTGCCAAGGCCAATGATGCAGCGCTCGCCAAAGGTGGGAGCAACGGGCTAAAGGGAGGGAGCCGTCGGGGCCGTGTCTCTGCGTCGTCTCTCAGAGTGCTTTCGCCTCTGAGTGGAGGCACCGCTGTCGCCACGGAAGAGGCCTTGGCCTTGGCTCAGGCCTTGGGCACGGACGCGGACAGCAAAGAGCCTTTGAAGGAGATGCAGGAGGAGAGGCCCAACTCAAGCAGAACTCCGTCTGTTTCTTCCCGGCAGTCCATCCACGTTGCTGTGCCTTCCAACGTCAGACCTGGGGAGAAGTTTTTTGTAGTGGTGGACGACATGGAATATGAGGTGATGGCGCCGGAAGATTGTATGCCTGGCGAGATGATTGCAATGGATATCATGTCAGATCTGCGCTACTGGGAAGATGCACCTGCGGTTATTGTGTATCCTGACCCCGATGGAGGCGACCGGCCCGGGCCAAATTTGAATGAATCCAAAGAGTACGAGGCTTCTGTGGCCGAGTCGGTTGCCACGGACGCCAGCATCGTACAGATTACTGTGCCGGACGAGTGCAAAGCAGGAGACACCTTCTTCGCCGCAGTCAATGGCTTAGAGTATGAGATTCTTGTGCCCAAAGGCAGCAAATCTGGAGACGTGATCACCCTGGAGGTACCATCAAAACACGCAGTTGGAAAGTTTGCTGTGCCAGCGCCTGCCGCTGATGTGCCGTCTATTCTCGTGCGAGATGCTATGGCTAGCCAGGGCTCCAGCGAGACGGACATTTTTGCAGAAATTTCCGTTCCGGAGAATACATACCCTGGTCAAACCTTCGTGGCTGTCATCGACAACATGGAGTTCGAAGTTCCTGTACCGGAAGCCTGTCTGATAGTCGGAAAAACCTCTTCTGTATTCTGGCTCGGACAACTCAGGACGGCTACGGTCCTGGAGACCGAATGACGCTTCAGGTACCTTCACGTGGCTTCATGCCGAGGCCTCTGCCGTCTGCCTGGCCCCCAAAGAACACCTTCCAGAGCACCTTGCACTGCTTGCACATGCCTTTCATAAGTCTGCACCACCTGTTTTTGAGGAGCTGCGGGAAATGCGCCAAGAGCTCCAAGAAGTGCGTCAAGAGCTGCAAGCTGTCCGGCAAGTGCAGATGTCTCAAAAGAGAGCTGAAGAGGCAACGAATCCAGGCTCAATTTTTGGACGAGGTGTACGAGTGGCAGTTTGCGGCTGCGCAGTGCAGGGAGAGAGAGAGAGAGAGAGTGGACTTTCCGCGCGTGCGCGGAGGGGTTTACCCTCCTGGCTGTGTGGAAAAGAGTGGGTTTTCCGTGATAACTCAGGCAACATGTGTCCAAATCCTCCGGCGACTCAAACTTTATCGAGATATTCATTCCACCGGACTGCTACGCAGGCGATGATTCTCCGTGCCCGAGCATGCATGTTGCGTGGTGCTGATACCATTGCAAGTTCTTAATGTGATATCAGCAACAGGAGATGTCTTTGTTGTTGAAGTGGATGACGTTGAGTTCGAGATGGCTACTTGACTGATTTGCAAGCGGACCTGCTTTTCGTCAGGAGTGTTATGGTTCGTTTGGAGTTTTTGGTGGTTTCCGTCCCTTTGATTTGATGGTTGATTCGGTTGTTCGTTTCAGCAAGGACGGAGGGAAGGGAAGGGAAGGGAACAAAGAGGAAGAGAGGCGAAGGCAAGCCAAGATAACAGAAGGGAACGGAATGGCACGGAGGCAAAACCATCGGGCGAGCATTCAGCTTCTTTGTTTTGCGCAACTCGCGGACTGAGTTTTGCACGGAGATTGACCATGTCGGTCTTGAAGGTCTATGATCATCATCTTAGTGTCTTAGTGTCCATTCCCCAAGTTGATCCAAATGCCATGACATTGGGAATGAAATTTGCAGTAGACTTTCGTGGTGTTCCAAACGGTTGTTCTGATTATCAGCCTGAGATGGGTGCATTATCATCGAAGCCATTCGCAGAACTACCGTGAAGGAGCAAGGTTCAGTGATTCCTCACAAAGTGTCTTTGAAGGACAGGTCCGGACTCGAAGGTGTGGTTTGCCTCGGGCAATCCAACTAGCTTACAACCACCCGTGGATGTCTTTATGCATGCTTGCTGAACT